ACAAAGCATGTTGTCAGTTCAGTTGCAGCATCCATTAATTCAAAGGAGTTATTTTGGCAGGCTATCTAATGCAATGCAGTGACAAAGTTCGGCACAAACTTGCCTTGGGAACAGACCAAGCCTCGCTCCTTCTGGAAAGCTTTGAAGTCGCGGTAGGCAACTACCAAAAGCTTGTGCAACGAGTTGACATCAGGATTCGGGTCTCCGAAGTAACCGTTCTCAACCAGAAACATCCTCGACAGGTAGGGGCATCCGACACGCGTAAACATGGTATAGATCTACCTGCTTGTGATCCAAACCACAATCGGGCCAAAGAGCAACGTAGATCCGTTGGCATCTTGTGCCACTCCAAGGTTGATATTGTGTAGGCTGCAATGACACAGCATCGTGAAATCAAAGCATCGAAGCCCCAAGAACGGACCTCCAGGAACAAACAAACTCAACCAGATTGCTCAGTAGTTACTGTAGTATTCGATCCAAACTAGGCAAGGAGTAACAAAGTAGAAACCATATGAAAGCCTACATAGGTGCTGGCAAAAGCACAGATGTGATTTTCTCGCATACCATGCACCACGAAGTGATGGTGCGAATGCTGTGTTTGGGCCCAGGAAGGGGCCTCTGAAAAGTCGACGATGGAGTGCCGGGCTTGGTGGTGATTTTCGGCTTCGCATCGCCAACAAACCCACCTAGTCTTCCACCACCGATTGAGCCTCCAGGTATGATAGTGGTATTCCCAGTCCCCCTTGAATTGTGTAACGACAAACTTCTTGCTCAACTTGTTTCCCTCAGGGGTCAAACCATCGAAGGCAGCATTCAGACATTGCACAATTGCAGAGTACAAGGGGTTGTGGCTTTTCCAGCCCAGACTGAGCTCGCTTTCAAGGTTCCATAACAACCACTGGCTCATCCGTGTAGATTTGGGTCGCCACAGCACAATACTCATAAAGCAACCTGTGACTTTGCTTTGATCATAGCCTGTGCCATATCTGGCGGTATCACCGTAAAGTGTTAGGGGGATGTGGCTTCCATCGAGCTCGTCATTGGCAGCCCACGGGCAAAATTGTTTGACATGAGACCAGCACTTTTGCAAAGCACCTGCGGGGATCTCCAGACCCAAATCATCAATCAGATATGCAAGTATGCGATGACGAGGCAATATGGGAACCTTGACAGTTACTTCTTCTTCCGAATCGTGTTTTGCCTTGACAACCGTCTCCACATAAATGGGCTCCTGCTTTCTAGCTTCTTACAGACTCAAAAAGAGGGTGCACCGGGGATCGGGATTGGAGTAGGGTTTTAAAGGTTTGGGTAGTGGAGGATTATTCAATAAGGTTGCACGGGCAGTGGTATTTAATGCAATTGTTTGCGAACCGGGCACCACGGGAAGCCGAATCGATCGCTTGAAGTCTCGAGCATTGTTTCGCCCACTGAAGGAACCCATCTTGAGCAGCGGTGCAGGCAGAGCGGCAGAGGCTGCGTCCTTGGCTAGAGGGTTGTGGGGTTTAGTCCCGGGCATATGTCGGGGGCCTTTGATCATGTGCTTAAGTGATGATAAGATTAGAATATGAGGCTGGTTTTGGGTTTACTTTGGGATGGTAGTCGTTCTAGTTCCTTTGCGGTCGGGCTTCTTGAGTGGATGACTTTGCGCTCTGCATCTCGCGGTCGATGGAGCTGGCCTCTGCTATTCAAGTTTAGGGGTTCAAGGATCGGTTTGATTCTCGGGATTGGGGTTTACCGTTGCACTGATATGGTTGGGGTATGTTGGGGTGCTTGATAATAAGTCAAGCAGCAGCGGCAGCAACATTATCGATCATATCAAACACCAGCTCTGATGTACTTGATGTTGACTTGGAGAAGCTACCTGCGAGCGAGTAGCGGCGACTTATTGCTCGCATACACAGAGTGCACATGTAAACAAGGTCGCATCGCTTTCAGCTCTTGTTTTGGAGCCGCCCACCAACTCAGGTCTGCATGTCTAAGGCACACGTAAGGATTTCCCCATCCCATTGTGCACCAGAAGCAGGCCAAACTATTTGGCAGGATAGTCGATGCTTCGCTAGCACTCAGTCATACAACAGTGCACGGCCAGTGATCTGACTCGTGGTCGCAACAGGCATTAAATGTCATAATGCCGAAATAGCATCATCTACTCCACACAGCAAATACTCCCCACAGGTGTGAGCACATATTACATACCGTGTGTGTAAGTTACTAGGTTATTGAAGTTCCCTAAAGCCCTAGACCCAGCTTAGGACCTGATAGATTAAGCACTCATTCGGGGGGCTGTGTATCGGACGAGCTTCCTACTTGTTTGTGAAACTCTTCTTCTTGCCGTACGAAAGCACTTGCTGCTGCATCGTCTTCATCAGCTCTTTCGCGGCTTCGGTGCTCGAGGTGATGCGGGCCTCCTCATAGGAAGGTTGTTGCAGTCCAAAACACAAGCTAAGGATCAAATCAAAGGGCTCCTCACCGGCATCCAAAGCAGACTGCAACTCTGCTCGCGAGGCAGTCAGCTGGGAGATGCAGTCGTTGAGGTCCTTGCGAAGGGCCGCCTGGATGTTCTTGCTCCTTGGCATGAAGCAGGATGGAAGGTTTGTTCGGGTGAGAGAAATTCACAAAACACTTAGGCATGCTTAGCCCGAAACAACCCAGAAAGCTCGGCAATTTTGTCGTTGGTCTCCCGGATGGCTTTGCTGAGGGCAGTGATGGCCTGGGAGAGCATTGGGCAGCATGCATTCAGTTCGGGGTTTGCATTCATGCACAGGCCTTGTTGGCTTCCTGTTTGATCTTTCTCACTCTCTCTTTCTCGGCCTGCTCCTCCTTGGTCTCCTCACCCTTGGCTTGCTTCTGATTCTTAGCCTTCTTCTTCTTGTTCGCTTTGGCACCCTTTGCACCATTGCCCTTCTTCTTAGGCTTCTTACCTTTGGGCCCCTCGCAGGTCGAGCTGATTGTGGGAGGGAGAGAGAGAGAGCGGGAGGGAGAGAGAGAGAGAGAGAGAGAGAGAGAGAGAGAGAGAGAGAGAGAGAGAGAGAGAGAGAGAGAGAGAGAGAGAGAGAGAGAGAGAGAGAGAGAGAGAGTGAGTGAGAGAATGAGACAGTGAGAGAGTCAGAGTGAGAATGAGAGTGAGCGAGTGACTGAGTGAAAGAACAACCGTGCTTTATCGGTCCTTGCCACCCTTCTTCGGCTTGTCTCCATCGTCCTCCTCGTCGTCATCGTCGTCGTCGTCATCGTCGTCGTCCGATGACGAGCCCTGCTCCTCCACTCGGAACATGTCGGTAATCTCGTCCTGATCTTCGTCGGTGTGCTCTTCATCAATCAGCACCAGGTATTGAATCAGTCCTACCCAGCCAGTGACAGATTATGCACAGCACAGACACATCACCAGACAGTAATCTACCCACTGGTCCTGGGCAGTCAGGATGCTCTCTGATTTCGGTCTTCTTCAGGTACTCGTCTGTCTGCTTGCGGACAATAATGGCATCGACTATGGCGGAATCCTGGAAGTGATTTTCCAGCTGAGGCCGTGTGAGCCATCTCCGGATGCCCCGGCGCCCAGTGCGATTGGTGCGCTTGATCGTTTTGTACACCACACTGTCCCTCCATTTGCCGGCCACCGACAAGAAGTCTTCGTACAAAGAAGACATCTTGTGCTTGCCTCAGAATCATCGCATACAAGCAAGGATAAATGCTAATGCCGGCACACATGCTGATGATTGCAAATGGGTTACAGTACTTCGACTGATCGAAAGCACTCTTGATCTCGCTTGGCGTGGAGCGGCCTTTGTATTTTAGAATCTTCAGAGCCCAAACCAGACAGCAAAGAGAGAGAGAGAGAGAGAGAGAGAGAGAGAGAGAGAGAGAGAGAGAGAGAGAGAGAGAGAGAGAGAGTGCATGTATGAGTGAAAAGAGAAACTGAGACCATGGCTGTGAATGCTTCTGTAGAATCTCATGTACAGCTTGTGGGCTTTCTTTTTCTTTTCGTTGGGATCCTCGTCTTCCTTCTCGTCGTTGTCTGTGGCCACGGGCTTGGGCTTTGCAGGGGACTCTGGCTTGGTCCGCTTCTTCGGGGACTTGGCTGGCTTGGGCTCAGGCATGGGGTCATTGCTCGACCGTGCTGTGCTGCCCTCGTTTGGCTCATCATCGCTCGGGCTCGGGGCAGCCCGTGCTTTCGCCTTGGCTTTGATTTTGGGGGTGGCTTTGGCCTTTGCTGCCTTCTTGCTTGCTGCTGCTTTCGGCTTTGCTTTTGCGGCAGACTTTACACTTGCTGATGCGGGCTTCGGGGCCGGGTTAGAGGCGGGCTCGTTGAGATCATCCTTCTGGGTTTCCTCCGCATCGTCAAACTCCTGCTCCAACTTCTTTTGGGCTGCTTCGGCACTGACCTTCCTTTCCATGGCTGTTTTCTTGTCAACTGTCTGTGGCCTTGTCAGAGCATGCTTCACTTTCTTGCTTGTGGAACCAGTCAGCTCATCGGTGTTGGCTCGCTTCAATTTCGGAGGGGGCGTCTCCACCTCTGTCTGCATGGAATCTGTACGAAGCGGTTGCTTGCCTGCCTTGCCACTTTGGAATGATCGCTTCCCTCTCGGGCTGATTTCCTCTGCTGCTGTGGCTGACTCTGTCTTTCGATTGGGGGACTCTTTCTTTCCAGCAGGGGACTCTTTCTTTCCAGCGGGTGACTCTTTCTTTCCAGCGGTGGGGGACTCTTTCTTTCCAGCGGCGGGGGACTCTTTCTTTCCAGGGGGCGACTCTTTCTTTCCAGGCGGCGACTCCTCGACATCGGGCCACGGGTTCTGAGCGTCCTCTTTGGAGCTGTCGTAGGACCTGGGCATAGAATTTGTGACATGACATATTAGTTGTTTTCGATTGCTAATATTCTACGTCAATCTCATCGAATGCAGAGGGCCCTACCATTGTCTCGATGTGCCGGATGACTTCCGGTCCACTCGGGCCTGCCTGTCGCGAGCCTTCTGCAAAATCTTCTCGACATCTATGCTGGCCGACATCGAGTCGATCAGCCCCAAAGCGCTACACAGCACGACCTACAAAAGGCAAGAAAGATCTGTAATGCGGCGGTCCACATCATGAGACGGCCAAACCAAGCTTGAAGACATCCCGTGGGTTTGCGCTTGAGTTGTTGCGGTTTCGCTTGTGTTTTGGGGGGCAAAAGTTTCACAGTTTTACGGGTGCTTATCACGGTTTTCACGGTGCTTTTCACGCTATTTTCACGCTGTTCTCACGCTGTTCTCACGGCTAGTGGTTTTCATGAACTCCAGCAAACACCCGAGGAAAGTTTTGCGATTGCGTCGAAACCCAACGCTTCTAGGAACATCACGCTGGAGACCTGCTGCCAGCTACCACCTTCCTGGCCACTTGGCTGACCTGTATGAGGACGGCTCCCTAGCTTCTACGGGAATCTGGCTTAATGGTTGGGGCTTCCAGTGGCTAGGAAGGCTGCACCCATAAGGCTCTACGGAAAGTCGAATGCGGGCACATATCGGCCTTCTTCGATCTCCTTCAAAAGAAACTCAAACACCGGAACCAGGTTAGCATGCTTCCAGTCGAAAGGAGGCCTCACGTTCGGAATTCTTGATCCAGCAGCCTCGCAAGAGGGTTTTTACTTTTGGGCTTAAGGCTCAGGTGGCTTTGGGCTTAGTGGTCTGGGTCCAGATCGTGCACGGCGAGATTCGCATGGGTCTTTGGATCTCTGGCTTCTAGGGCTTCGGGTGTTGAGGGTTCAGTGGTCTTTGTCTAAGATCACACACGACGGGGGTTCGGATAGGTGATTATAGATCTCAGGCATATAGGGCTTAGGGCTTCGGGGGTTTAAGGTTTAGTGGTCTTGCTCTAAAACCACACACGACGTAGGTTCGGATATGTGACTAGATCCAAGTCGTATGGGCTTAGGGCTTCGGGGGTTTAAGGTTTAGTGGTCTTGATGTAGACCATACAGGAATAGCACTCGGGATCACTCGGGTGGGGTTTTGAGATCTAGGGTTTCGGAGGCTTAGGGTTTAAGGGGTCTTGCTGTAGTTCACACAGGAAGAGGACTTGAACTGGCCTCGGCGAGATCCATCACAGCCGGCATCAGTCGGCACCGGTCGTTGTCCTCGGCATTCAGAATCAGAGACAAAAGGCTGTATAGGTTTTGTTCGTGAACTATTATTGCATTCTCACACAACACGTAATCCGAACAAGAAGCCATCATTTGCAGATGCTGGAAGGCAACCGCTCGTCCAAATTCAGCAGGATACGTTTGCGAACTTTTGAGCTTCGGCCCACCCGTCCTCATGATTAGCAAAGTTATGCTTAATTTATTGGCTCGATGCATTGCCAATATCCCATCATGTTCACGGAACATACTGCACATGCACAAATACTCACACGTCTCTCACTCGCTCTTTCTGCGTATCTGTCGCCCTGTCGATCTCTCTCTCTCTCTCTCTCTCTCTCTCTCTCTCCCTTGCCACTTCTGACTTCACTCTGACAGTCACTCACTCAATCCCTGGCCCTCTCACATAATAACCCCACACACACACACACACACACACACACACGCTAACACAGCTTCGTTTGCACCCTGTGCTCTATCAACCCACTGAGGGCGGGTCACGACTTTCTTGCCGGAGACATGCTGCTTGCGCTGAAACAGCCCCTTGGACGAAAGGCGAAGTGCCCTTCTCTTCTCTTTCGTGAGTTTCTCATACATCCGCAGCAACCATGGCCTCAGAATACAACAGCATTGATGTTGGTTTTCAGAGGACTACAAGTAGGGGAATCAGTTCGATTTGTAAGCCCCATACGGAGTACCAATCAGGACGGTCGGCTTGGGAGATCGGTGACCGTAGGTCGCCATCCAACTCAGTCTGCTGTAGGACAGCATTCCCGGTGCTATGTCCCTTGCATACTACATTAGCACACTATACTCCATGACTAAGATTCTGACAATCGCACAACTCGAATCGGTATGTAGTTGCGAAGGGTTTCCTTGATAAAGGCCAAATACGGGAACTCCAGAAATAGTGAGCTCGTCGGCTGCTCTATCCACCAGTGGACACATCTCATTGAAGCGAGTATGACCAGGAGAATCGTCCGGGTCGCCAGCCTGGGCTTGGTCGTAGTGTTGCTTCATAACGGGTTGCATTTAATGAGGCACCCTCGTCTTGGCTTAGCACAGGAATGCAAACCTTCAAAGCTCCTAAGCCTGAAGCCTAAAACCCATTCCCAATCAAAGTGCTCTTCTCCCCCTTTACAACCAAAGTGCTCGTTGGCTTTCTTGATGTAAGCATATTTCGTTGTCCCAAATATACGATATGGTCGTCTGCCGGAGGTGGCCCTGTTGATGAACACCCAGCTCGCACAAGGAAGGCCACAACAGAGGAGGCCGGATGGCTTGATTCGTAGAATCTTGTGCATGGCTCGAAGTAGCCCAAACCTCGGACCCAACTCCAAGACTGCAGCATCGTTCAGCACTTGCAGACCTCCAGCTCTCTTGTAAGCAACCGACACAGTCAATAAATCGTCGTCAGCCGGGGAGCTCACATCGAAAAAATCCCTGCATCATCATGAAGTTTGGATGCTTGCACGACTTTGACCCGAGACACTTTCGCTGAGCTGAGACCCTAGCGACTTGTGGCCCTGTGCACCTCAAATACATAGGGCAAAGGTTGTAGCATTGCAGGCCCCTTCTCACTCCTCCTGAATTCAGCAAACCTCTAGATCTAGCTAGGTAAGAGCGAGACTGAAGGCTCTTTCCACCGACCGCTTGCCGGCGAAGAGATCCAGGCAAACCAAATCCTGGGTTTCATGGCAAACGGTTTATAAACTTAGATATTTAGCTCAACACCGAGGCTCAGGCACGAAGTAGGTTTTCCCCGGTTGCATTCTGCGCGATGTAGTCAGCCAGGTGTAGCCTGATGCGAACGAAATATAATGGATTTGGGGTTTTCAGGGTTCGGCTTCTAAGAGTTCAGGTAATGTTAACCGAGTAGCAGGATGCATGGGAAACCGACAAAAGCCAGAGCAAGTAGGGTGTCCCGTGAGAGGGCCACGTCATTCAGCATCCAAGAAGGCGGCATATCTTCAAGCCCAAGCACCTTTCTTGAACCAGTACACCTCACTGAAGGCCCAAGGCTCAAGGTGCAACATATTGCATATCAACGATCGGAGCCCATAGCACCACGAAGTATGCAGGAAGTGCTCGTTTGTTTTGACCCAGTGTGCACTGATCACACTGCTGAGAACTCCGGGAAAAGTCAGCCGAGGAAAGCCGGCTTTAAAATCGAAGCTAGATCTGACCAAGGTCGCAGTCGCGAGAGTCACTTCTTGTTTCCCCAGTTCGCCGCTAAGCAAGCTGCTTCCCACCTAGGTCCAAGGCTTGCTCACAATCCCAGCTGAAATCAGTAACGGCTGCAAAATGCCAAGCACCAGGCGCTTTGGCCAGCGAGTCGAACTTCGTCCAGCCCAGGCTGGCGCCGTACTGTCGATTGACCTGAGTGGGTCGTGGGTTCTGGTTGGGACAGGTACAGGTTGTAATCTTCAGAAGGCAGCTAGGTACCGGGCAATGAAGTCAGTTCTGTATTTCTGATTCACCATATCCAAGCGTTCTTGCTGTGCACCGTAGATGTAGAAGCACCCAGAATATGGGTTAAACCTGGTCGCTGCAGTGGGCTGAACACATTACCACAACACAACATATTGAGGGATGGGCCAAACTCCGATCTTGGCGACTTTCTTGTTCAAGCTGACGGTCCATGACCTTGAATTTGCGAAGTTTGAACTCTGGGATGGGATGAGGCTTAGTCACTGCATGCTGTTTTCACCCATCACTTAGGCTATCACTTCCTCATGTTGTCAGAAGACAGCACACCATGGTCCAGCTCCAAACGGGGGTCCTGCTTGCCCAGTGCTTCGAAACGAGGGCGCCAACGGTCTTTCACCTCCCGGCGTGAGTGCATGATGCTTTATTACATACTTCGTGCCCTTCCTTACCCAACCTTCGCGAGCTTGGCGGTCGGCTCTGGCGGTTCGGGGCTTTTCTCCGGGGCTTGTTCGGCCTCTTCCTCTTCTTCTTCCTGCTGCTCCTCTTCCTGTGGCTCATCATCCTCCTCTTCCTCCTTCGGGTTCTCCTTGGCTTTTTTGGCGGGTCTTTCGGCGATCTCCTCGCAGGCTGCTGGTCGTTTCATATTCTGTTTGCCTTTTCCTCTTCCTCTTCCTCTTCCTTTTCCTTTTCCTTTTCCTCCCCGCCCACGTCCTCTGCCTCCCGGTTTGCCTGGAGGGGTATCGGGGGATCGTGGTTCGGACTCCTCGTCTCCTTCCTTAGCTTTCTTTTGTCGAAGAGCTTTCCGTGTCTTGACTTGCGCCTAGCAGTGGATTGCAAACCGAGTCATGTTGTGGCACAGTGATCTCAGCAATCGGACAAGCCAGCCTCCAAAGCAAGGTTCGGATCATCATTCATGCTCTGTGTCAGCATCTTCTCAGCTTTGTCTTTCACTGCTTTTGGGAGGTTAGGGGCCGGAATCTTCTGATCTTTCTCATCCTTGAGAACAGCATACACACTAGAATGCAGTGCGATAGTGTAGAAAGCGATTTGAACCCCAAGCCGACGTCCTTGAATGCCCCTTTTGTTGCATCCTTCTCGGCGTCACTCTCCACAGAGTCCCCTGGCAAGCACTCATCTTCTTCCTTGATTTCTTCCTCCTCCCCTTCCTCTGCATTGCAGGTCCCAGCGGCATCTTCGCCGTCCTCCTGGCAGCGACAGCAGCAGAAGCAGCAGCACCACACAGCAGAGCATCTAGCTTCTGGCGGGTTGTGATTGGAGGATGGAATGTACCTTAAAGCCTTAGACTTCGGCCGTTGGCGTAGGCAAACACCGGGCTAGAAATATATGGTTTGTTATTTTGGGGTTTACGAGATCGATAGTCAGATATCGAATCGGTGACAAGTATTGAGTAATTTAATGAACGAACGAGGTTCGAACTTAAGAAATACAGCAGACCTTAATAAT